TTTTTAGGGTATTATGCAGTAATATTAGTTATTTTTTATTGCTCAAGTTGTAGCAATGAAAAACACTGTCATGTTCTTTCCCCATTTTTCTATCCGGTTTTTGGTCCTATGGTCGATATATATTAGATATATTAGTTCTTTGTTTGTGGTATATGTTAATAATATATCCTTGCAGTGGGTCAGTTTTCTTTCTGCTTGTTTGTTATTTTAAGAGATTCAAATTCATTAATTATTTATTGCCTATGGATTTAGAATCATAGAAAGGCTTTTCCTTTACCAAGTTTAAAGAGGTAATCATCCAATCTTGCCTTCTTTCCTTTTTAATAATTAGATCTCTAATTCATCTAAATTATTTTTGTTATTGTGTAAACTATGGATCTAATTTTTTTGATCCATTTTAGATATTTCCTTTATCATACTCTAAATTAGTATATGCTTTAGGGTACATTTCTAATTTTATATTCTATGACATTGGTTAAATTGTCTATGCATGTGCTAATATGACATTTTTAATTATACAGATTTTATAGTATATTTTAAAGATTGTTACAGGTAGTCTTACCTTGTAATTTTTCTTTCTCAATATGCTCCTGGCATTTCTTGTATGTTTATTTTTCCAAGTGAATGTTAGTATTAAATTTTGTAGCTCCATAAAATAGCTTGTTGGTATTTTTATTGAGATTGCATGAATTCATAAATTTAGAGAGAACTACATCTTTCGAGTGTTGAATCAATTTAAGAATAGGGACTGTCTTAACATTTTTTTTTCAGGACTACTTTTGTGTCTTTCATGAGTGTTTTAACATTTTTCTTCTATAGGCTTCATGTATTTCTTATTAGATTTATTCCTAAGTGTAATCTTCTTTGGTGCTATTGTAAATGGGCTTTCTCAATAATGTATCATGACTGAAAACTTCTGAAATATATAAATCTACAGATTCAAGAAGCTGAGCCCACTCTAAACAGGGTAACCCCCCCAAAATGCATGTCCAACTACTGAATACTAAAGACATAATATAAAACTGAAAGTAGCCAGATTTTTTACTATAAGGCAACAATGATTTGAAACATAGCCGAATTCTCATTAGAAAACATGGAGACTATAGGGATTTGGTAGTTCTATCTTTAATATTTTGAGAAACCTCCATACTGTTTTCTAACTTATATTTCTACTAACAGCCTATAAGGTTCTCTCTTCTCCACATCCCACCAACACTTGCTATCTTATGTCTTTTTTTATAATAGCCACCTGACAGGCGGAGGTTGATATCTTATTGTGGTTTTGATTTGCATTTCTCTGATGATAAGGGATATTCAGCATCTTTTCATATACCTGTTGGCCAGTTGCATAAATTCTTAGGAAAAATGTCTATTAGACCCTTTTCTCATTTTTTTAAACTTAAACAATGCTTTCATGTATGTTTTATTTGGTTATTATTAATTCTCAGTGAGGATATTATTATTCCTAATTTGAATTGCCAAGTGAAGAAAGATGATTTGCCCAAAGTTACAGACTTATTAAGTGGTGGTGTTGGAAACAGAATTGGGGCTTCCTGACACCCATCCTTTGCAATTGTTAAAGTTATTTCTTTTTTATTTTCTTTTGCTATAGAGTTGTATGAGGTCCCTATATATTTTAGATATCAACCCCTTATCAGATATATGGTTTACTAATACTTTATCCCATTTCATAGGTTGCCTTTTCATTTTATTTTACTTTTGCTTGCAGTAGCTTTTTGTTTTGATAAAGTTTTAGTTGTTTATTTTTGCTTTTGTTACTTGTGTTTTTAGTGTCATATCCAGAAAAAAAATCATGGGCAAGACCAATGTCAAAGAGTTTTTCCCCTGTTTTCTTCTGGGAATTTTACTGTTTCAGGTCTTACATTTAAGTCTTTAAGACATTTTGAGCTAATTTTTATGTGTGATGTAAGATAGGGTGTCCCAAAAAAATGCCTATATACTTTAACAGTTGATAGCTCAATTGATGTGTCTTTCTTTTCAGATTTAACCCATTCGAATTAATTATTCAAAGTGTGTATACATTTTTTGGGACACCTTGTACATATAGGCATCCCCTGCTTTTTTAAAGTTTGCGTTCTACCACTTCACTTTTACTAAAGACCTACCTCAGTACCTGTTTTCACTAACCTGATGAATCTGAAGAGGATTTTGACTTTTTAAAAAAATATATTTTATTGATTTTTTGCAGAGAGGAAGGGAGAGGGATAGAGAGTTAGAAACATCGATGAGAGAGAAACATCAATCAGCTGCCTCCTGCACACTTCCCACTGGGTATGTGCCCGCAACCAAGGTACATGCCCCTGACCGGAATCGAACCTGGGACCCTTGAATCCGCAAGCTGACGCTCTATCCATTGAGCCAAACCGGTTAGGGCAAGGATTTTGACTTTTACAAAAAAAGACAAAAAGGGAAAATAGTGTTAAGGTTTTGTTTTGTATTGAGCCATTATAGTGGCAGCAGTACCCAGAGCAATGAGAGTGTCTATACCAGGCTTCTTCCTGGGAACTATACTCAGTTTTGCAGCAACAATAAATGTATTGTTCTTATAATGCTCTCAGTAATAATATCCTTTCACATTCCAAGCTGTCATGATTTCTGATGACTATATAGCTGCTTTTATTTGCTATTCATTCAAAGTTCCTTGTCAGAGACTCTCATTGTATGCATAGAATATAATTACCATTTCATTTCATTTCAAAATTATATCAGATTTTCACTATATTAGTTTCCCAGGTAATGAATAAGGTCTCAATCTGTTGTAGTGTTTTCATATCAGAACCAGTTTTTCAGGGTCATGGTAATAATTTTTAATTGTGAAAATTAGTAACAAATTTATATGTGTGAAAATTGATTGCTTAAATCTCCCATCTTGGTCAGCATGCACTGAGTTGTTTATCCCTCCCCCACCCCTCTTCTACTTCTAATACTTTTTAACTTGGCAGTTAACCTGGTAGAAGGAGCTCATGCAAGGCACTGCTTAATCCTAATCACCAGTTCTGTGAGGCGTCACTTATGCCACCTCAGTCATGGTTTATGAGTATGTTTTAAAATAGTCATAAAATTTCTTGTGCAGAACTTCAATTATAAGGGTTATCAAAATAGGACAAACTAATATAATTTGTGATTGCATAAAATAAAGGAAGTAGCCGTACCAGGGGGACCTCATGAATCACAGAATGGAAGCAGACTTCTAGCTAACTAAACATTCAGACTTTGTACTGAGTCACAGCATGTATATGTAACTCAGCAAACCGGAACACAGTCTGTGTATATGTGAATGGGATACAGTTCACAAATACCATCTGGGGGGAAAAAAAATTCTTGGTCTGTTTTGTCTGGTCCTACTGCAGTGATGGCGAACCTATGACATGCGTGTCAGAGGTGA